CCCGTCAGAGAAGTTTAAAGCTATGAAAACTATACCAGCGGAAAGCGGAGGAGATAACAAAATCAGTAAAAAGGGTTTTTGAAAAAGAAGCTTTCTGGAGGCCGGCAAACCGGTTTTAAGGTAAAGTTGACATGATCTACGTGGTCAACATCGTAAACTTCCGTACGACTAATGTAATTATTTTCTTGGCCCGTCAAGGAAATTTTCTTTTTGACATATCAATGGAAAGAGCATCAGAAACTGTGTAAGAAAACGGCTGATCTAAAATGCTACGAAAAAATAGACACATTTTTTCGTATGTTCGTTAGGAATTTCATTCAAAGCATCTTCATTTTTGCATCTTTTTTTTACTTTTTATCATGTTCTTTATGACTTATTTATAATCATTAGAATCGAGCTTTCAAAGTACGGACCGTCTTTTTCTTTTGTTCTGTTTTATCACTAAGAGAATCGATTTTTTCTAAATCAAGAGCGAAAAAAGCCGAATCGTGTCTGTAATTCTGTATTTTCTCAACTAGAACTCACTTGTTATGCAATAAATATATATGCAATAAAAATAATATGTTGGTTGAGTGAGTGCTGTAGCGGCTTCCACCCACTTTGCTTGTTCCAATAATCCTGCACATTTCTGTGGATCACTAATAATAACATGTTGTTGTATCGATGGTTTTAATCCACGTAATAAATGTATTATTTGTTTGGATTCGGTCATATCGTGATTAAATTTCTTGCATAATTGCAAAATGTTTTAATAATATGACTGTACGGATTTGGTCGGCCCTTGTCGACGATGTATTAAATTTTTAATCTTTGTGTTGATGATTTAAATGAGTGAACTAATTCAAGTCTATAATGCATCGTAGTCTTCTTCATTTTCTGAATTTGGATACCATTTTTTAACATCATCATTAGAATACATTGGGGGAAGTTTTCTTCTGTCTTCTTTCTCGCCACTGGTAGCAACAAATAGTTCGTTAATACTTTGTACCCATGCGACTGGATCTTGATCGTCATGACCCGTAAATTGTTCCGCCGGTTGAATGTCCTTCAGTAATATTTGATTGGTCACATCAGTTGTCATTTCGTCTGCTTCGTTTTGTTCTTGATAGGCTGTTAATTCTGTTGATATACTTGATAATTCTCTTGTGCTTGTTGGTCTGGCGTATTCCATATATGCACCATCTTGATGTTTTGATTGATTTGAGTACTTGTTTCTGTTGCTGTATTGACAAACAAGCCGATTGTTTGTCAATACAGCAACACAAACAAGTACTCAAATCAATCAAAAAGGGCTAGTGCACCATTGTGAGATGATAATGACTGTATGTTTATTCAACAGAGCAAGATAACTACCGAATGCCCACTAACACATAAAAATACAGTGGTATATATGTTGTAGGCAAAACTCAAATTTTAGTTTTGACTGGACAAAACTTAAATTTAATATTATAGTTTGACTTTTGCCTGAATATAATTATATTATTTATGAATTAAATTTTGACATTATCTAAGAATATTCCTGATCAGTCGACTGAAGTCAGGAATATTCTTAGATGATGTCAAAATTTAATTTATAAATAATATAATTATATTCAGGCAAAAGTCAAACTATAATATTAAGTTTAAGTTTTGCCCAGTCAAAACTCCAATTTGCGTTTTGCCTACAATACATATAGGAGAAAAAAAGGACCGAAATGCCATATGATACATATATTCACATTGATATGTCAAAAAGAAAATTTTCTTGACGGGTCAGAAAATAATTACATTAGTCGTACGGAAAATTATTCTAACTCTTCAGTACCCGAAGAGAAGGTGGGTACTCGAGCATTAATGTCGACCTATAGACAAGAAAAACCAATATTTTAAATTATTTTTTCGACAAATATACTCGGACCAATGGGTACATTTTGGTGAAAACCGTTTGCTGAGTTATGGTTCGAACAAAAAAAAGTTTGGATCGTACGGAAAATTTTTGCAGCAGTAGTAATCAATTAAAAACAGTTAAAGCTACGCACTTGAGGGTGATGTTGAACTCGTAGTATCAGTGATAGAAGTGGCGGCGGTAAAGATTGTTGTGGAAACTGTGTAAAATAGAATGTAAACGGCAAACGAAGCATGTTTTATTTCTGATTATCCAGAAAACCTCACTGCCAGCGATGTCATGTAAAATTCCAATCCGCGGCGGAATCATATTGTACGAAATTTCATACAGTAATGGTACGTTGGTAGCTTGTATGTAATACATGGCAAAAAGACAGACATCTAGACCTTTCTCAATATGGTTCCATCGCGGATTCGAGGCTACCATGCTGCCGTCTTAGAAGCTTGCATCCACCATTACTGTACGAACCATTCAAGCTAGTATACTGTCTTATAGCCAACCAGCCGTGCATATACTTTATCACGTCTGTTGTCATTCCGCGGCTGATGAGAATAGTTCATCCAATCGTGCCAGCGGGAATGTTGAAGGTGATCCCCGTCAATAATTTGAAAAGGTTTTGTTTTTTCATAGCAAAAGAGAAAGCAGAAGGGTTTCATACTATCTCTTCAATAGTATTGGAATCCACTGTCTCCACGCAAGAACCTGAAAGTCGCGACATCCCTGTACTTTGCAAGCGTTGATATGTTACCTATAGTTTCAAAAGCTGAAGTGTTGTGTGGCAAGATTTTCAATGTTATAATAGATACTAGAAGTCCGGCTAACACAGCTAAGAATAGCAAAATTAATAGACAACAACAACATGGACAACACCACCAACATAATCTAAGAGAGAAGAAGACTTTTACTTAAATTAATTGTTTTCGGTATATTATTTATACCCTGCTTTCCGTCGTCGTTTTATCTTTTTCTTATCTTCGTTGTTTGGATTACAATAAATGTAATAAAATTCAAATGTCTTCTGTTTTGTTGGTTTGTGTTTGAATACGGAAGTCCATGACGAAGATGAGACATCGCTGGATATCTACGAGAAATATACGTTTCTAGTGACTGACTCTCGTCTTAAGGAAAAAGAAAATTTTTATTTTACCAGTCCAGGTCGAATGGAGTGAGTAAATTCGTCGAGCGAACCATTCATATCATCTTTGTTCTATGAAGTAGAAGACATCTTGCTTTGCAGGGAGGAAATGAATGAACTGTACAAAATAAAAATTACCGCCATATTACAATGTACTCGTGTAACAGCAGGTTCAACGACATCAATTATGGGATGAATGCAACTTCCACTAAGGTTAGTTTTAGTTGAAGCTTTGAAATGAAAACAATTGAGCACATTTTGCTCTACGAACACGTGCTCATATTCACCTATACGTCTGTTATTGTCGGATCTTCCAGATTCTTCTTCTAGTCTCACCTTCTAAACTTTAGCAAAATGCATTCTTCAATTTTATTCCTAAATTTTTCCACATACCCATTTTGATAATCTAGTAACACTCGGTTTAGCTGCAGATGCGGGAACGGAAGCTGATGTTGAAATTAATTCCTAAAAACGCTATATTTCGTCTTACATATTTTCTTTAAAGAGGTCTTCTTACTTGTGTTGTTGAATATTTTGTTTGGTCAAAAGCATTCAGATGTAACGGTGACACTATGTCCTATAAATTACACTATATTAATTAGATATTCTGATAATAAACCTATGATTTATACCCGTCTGCATAATTTCTTCCTTGAAACTCGGGTGATTATGGGTTTCGGTAATATAGTAGGCATGATAAGAAACTCTACTTGTTCCACTTGTATGATTATCCTTCAGCAAAAAAGTGCAGTTGTGGCTAGAAGTCTCACTCTACTTCTTTGTTTTTATGCACTGAAATAGAGGCAAGAACTTTTATTCGTATTCATCTATATTCCTACTCTGCTGATCATACTGTGCGCGTCTGCAGTCTGCATAGAGCTAATGTGCAGGAACAAATTTAGGAACGCATGAAAAAATGCAAAGTGACGAGTGAGAAAAATTGTTTTACAGATTAAAAACTGTTTTTTCATCTTCTATTTAGTTGACTGGTATTTGCAATTATAGATGAGTAAATTATTTGGTTACTATGATACTCCATTCAGTGAAGGAGTGCTGGGATATTACACAATCTCGGATCTTTCAAGAAGTTTCCATTCTCCTGCAAAACATTTTCCAATTAAAAGTGTTCATAAAACAGTAAAAGATTGGTACGTTGTGTCGGATCACGATAGCAGAAGAATAGCAGCGGCACTTACCGTTTGTGGTCTTTGGCTTAAAGAATGATCCAACACAGCGTACCAACCTTTTACTGTTTTATGAACACTTTTAATCTGAAAATGTTTTGCCAGAGAACCGAAACTTCTTGAAAGATCTGAAGTTGTGTAATATCCCTGCACTCCTTCGTTGAATGGAGTTATCATAGTAACCAGATAATTTACTCATCTATAATTACAAACACAAGTCAACCAAATGGAAGATGAAAAAACACTTTTTAATCTGTAAAAAACATTTTCTCAATTTTCACTTTACTTTTACTCTCGACCCTTAGAACGATGCTTTTAAAAGTTCTCATTTGTTATTTTGAGAATTTTTTGTTTCGATGATACGATTTAAAAATAAGCCTAACAAAATTTGCAAACGTATGCATGGGACTGTCGAATAATGAAATGAAGACAGACAGAACACGTAGACGCATTTTTATTCATAATTATAATTAACTATGTAAAAGTTGAGCCAGGAAGTCTAACGAATCACCTTCGGAGTTGAGTGAGAAAACATATATGAAAAACTACAAAATCAATAAAAATTTAATAAAATAAAAATATTTACGTCGAAATTTTGCAATTTTGTAAATTTTTGTTGATTTGCATTTTTTCTCAAGTATCTCAGTAATTTTTCGACCTGAAAATTCAAGAAGAAAAAGGCGGTCGGAAAGGTTGAAAAAAAGTACATCATTCAACTCAAATTTCGACGCTGGTTTGGAATATAATATTTCTATTGCATAAAAGATGAACTTTCATGGAGAAACTTGCAAAGTACGGGCAGAATTTTCACTTTTTCACCCCTGATATAGAAAACATGAATTTTCTCAGTTATAAAGCAAAATAATAGAAAAAGCAAAACGTACTTTTGAAGCTTGTTTAATGGCGGTCCTAATGAAATAAAAAAGTCGATCTCATCTCTTCACAAAAAGCCTAGATAGGTTTGCACAATTGTTTGGGAAGTCCAAGTACACGGGGAGTTCAAGACATCCATAATGGATAGACCTTTGACTTCAACCTTGATTAAGTATCATTCTCATACTCTATTTTTTATGTTGAATCTGAAAAGCATACTTTCGAAAAGTTAAAAGTACGAAAAAGAAAAAAGTTAGACTATTTTTGAAACTGAAGAGTTTTTCGAAACACTCTATTAAAGATAGATAAAGCTATAGTCCAGTCTATATTTGAACAAAATATTTTCTGCTTAGAATATGCTTAAATTATTGCCCCTACTCAGACAATATTATTGACAAAATATGGAACTTGCGGGAAGTCTTGTTCGTGTGTTATATCAGAAATACTATGCACAGCGTTTCTCCCCATATATGATTTTGGGATCCCTGATTAATGTTGTCCTGTATGTAGAAAAAGTGTGCTGAGTTTAATGGCGAAAGCCGATTGTGAAAATATTCTTTATTTTCGGAGTTATAATCATTTTACTGAAAAACTAACCATTTGAACATCTCAAGCACAAAAGCTCGACGTTTCTCGAGTCCAGACGGTTTGGAGGAAATCTAATGACAGATGCTTGTGCGCTAGGATCAAGGATTTCCAACTGTACCATAAAAGTGGAGAATTATGGTGATGGCAAATTTCGAGTCTTATCCGGTGGGGTCCAATGTTCATGCACATTAGTTCTATGCAGACGCGTAGAATGTGATCAACAGACTATACACTGTTATGAGTGAATTACATAGTAATTGTAGCGTTGTGCTGGAATCAGTAATATGTGGAAAAGCCAAAATCCACTCATAATACGTAAACTGCAGCATACAAAATCAGGGCAATACCTTAACAACTACACTACACTACACATTTGTATTTTATGTGGTGCGTTTCATATGCGAAAGTGACGAGTTTGATTTTCTCTTACAAACAGCAATGTTCTCTGTTTTGTTCCTATCGAAAAGTATTCATTGAATACTCATCGCCATTGATAGATCACTCAT